CATTCTTTAATGTACTAGAAGACTTTTATCAGACCTTCCTTATGCTTCTCTTCTTTAGGAATTTTTCCCATTGTTTTTAGAATTTAATCTCTTGGACCTTCAGCCTCTTTATTTCTCTTCTTTGCACTCTTTTCCTCAGCCTCATTTGTGTATTATGATGACCAAAACTACTGTAGATGCAGTATTCCAGGTGTGGTCTGATCAGTGTAACACAGAGTAGAACTATAATTTTCCCGTGTTCTCCACATTATAACATTGTTAATGCAATACAAAATTGCATTTGGTTGTTTTGAAGCTGCAGTGTGTTTAATCTGTGGTCTATCAGGACACCCTGAGCTTCTTCACAGGGACCAATTCTGAGCCACGTACCACTGTGTACTTGTACACAGAGTTTTTCTACCAAATTGCAGATTCCTACAAGATCCTGCTGAATCTTAAGTCAGTCTCCAAAGGTGTTAACAATCCCCCTCCAATGGCTTTGTGTCATTTTCAAGTTCTCTGAGTCTACAGGTGAAACTCAAAAAATTAGAATATCATGCAAAAGTTCATTTATTTCAGTAATGCAACTTAAAAGGTGAAACTAATATATGAGATAGACTCATTATATGCAAAGCAAGATAGTTCAAGCCGTGATGTGTCATAATTGTGATGATGATGGCTTACAGCTCATGAAAACCCCAAATCCACAATCTCAGAAAATTAGAATATTACATGCAATCAATAAAACAAGGATTGTACAGAGAACAATATCGGACCTCTGAAAAGTATAAGCATGCATATGTACTCAGTACTTGGTTTGGGCCCCTTTTGCAGCAATTACTGCCTCAATGTGGCGTGGCATGGAAGCTATCAGCCTGTGGCACTGTTGAGGTATTATGGAAGACCAGGATGTTTCAATAGCGGCCTTCAGCTCTTCTGCATTGTTCGGTCTCATGTCTCTCATCTTTCTCTTGGCAATGCCTAATAGATTCTCTATGGGGTTCAGGTCAGGCGAGTTTGCTGGCCAATCAAGCACAGTAATCCCACAGTCATTGAACCAGGTTTTGGTGCTTTTGGCAGTGTGGGCAGGTGCCAAGTCCTGCTGGAAAATGAAGTCAGCATCCCCATAAAGCTCGTCTGCAGAAGAAAGCATAAAGTGCTCCAAAATCTCTGGTAGACGGCTACGTTGCCCCTGGACTTAATGAAGCAGTGGACCAACAGCAGCAGATGACATGGCTCCCCAAATCAACACGGACTGTGGAAACTTCACACTGGACTTCACTGGAGACTCACACTGGACACACTGGCTCAGGAACCCTTTGCAGGTGTTATGGCTTAATTAGATGATTATAGTGGGACACTTTGAGCCTAGAATATTGAACCTTTTCACAATATTCTAATTTTCTGAGATTGTGGATTTGAGGCTTTCATGAGCTATAAGCCATAATCATCTCAATTATGATAAATCACAGCAATCAACTATCTTGCTTTGCATGTAATGAGTCTTATCTCCTATATTAGTTTCACCTTTTAAGTTGCATTACTGAAATTAATGAACTTTTGCATAATATTCTAATTTTTCGAGTTTCACCTGTATCTTATACCCTTTGTCTAAATCATTTATTTAAAAAATTGAAGAGCACTGGTCTCAGAACAGACTGTTAAGTACCCCACTGCATACCTCAATCCATTTATAAATAAATCCATCAAAGATCATGAATTGCTGTTCAACCAAACTGTGAATTTGGATGTGAGCATCCAGCACATGTTGCTCCATTTTATCAAAAGGGAGCTATGGTTACCTTTCTCAGATAGCTTACTGAATTCTAGCTATACAATATCCACAGTATTCTCTTGATCCAGACACCTTGTTTTAAAAAGCAGTATGATTAATCTGGCACAATCTATTTTTAATAAATCCATACTGGCTTCTAGTAACTACTGTGTTCCTTTCTATCCTTCCCAACCCACTCATAGAATTTTTTTTTTAGGATTTTCCAGACTGATTTCAAGCTGATTGGTCTGTAGTTTCTTGTTTTCTTTTTATACATAGTAGTTCTGACATCACATCCACCTGTTTTCTTTACCACCTTGGCATGTAATACAACTGATCCTGAGATCTTGAATTCAAAGCATCTTGGTGTTTTCTCACTATTTCCTTGCCCGCGTTGTCCAGCATTTCTCTTTGATCTCCAAGTTAGGTAGGAAAAAAACTTTCCCAGAACCCCCAATCAAGACACAAAACGGATAGATAATTGGGGATTATTTTGTCCTCAAGTCTCTTAGAGAATCCCATCAACTGTGGAACAATGAAAAAGCCTTGCCATAGAATATAAGGGAATTTAAGATAAATATACAAAGGATTGCTCTGCAAATAAGATACAACTCATCACTGACACAGAAGGGCATACATCTTACATTCATTTGAGAGAAAGTAGACTGCAAAATGAAAATATTTATCTCCTCATATAATTTTAAGAGTCTGTAATATGATTTATCAGGAGCATTGCCAAGGGAAAGCAGTACACACACACATCAGTTTTCATTCTAACTGTGAGCTCCTTGATGAGGAGAAGCTAGATTTCCCACTTACGGAGAGCAGTTCAGACAGCTCTCAGTACTTAAGTACTTAGTATTTCATTGAAGCATTTGTTTTATTAATTGATTAATATCTCATCTTCCACATATGAAAAGTATCAGTCAGTAAATGGGAATGCCTGAAAAATTCTGTGAATTGGATACGCTACATGGTACTATCAATAGCACCTCCACTGTTTCGATGTCCTGATTTTTTTTTAGATTTTTTAAATTAAAAATAATTAAATAGGAAGCCAGCACAGCATGAACCGTCAGCCTGGGAAATGCATTCTGCCTCCTTTTTGGAAAGAAAAGACCTGTGAACCCTTGAATTTATGTAAGCAACTCCAGGTAGATGTCTATGGAGATTCTCAGTTAATCTGAGGGACAACTGGTAGACTACATAATCATATCCATGTTGTCCACTTGCCAATGATATAGAAGTACTTTTCTGATGTGCCTTTGGGATCTTTATTTTTTTTTTATTTTTCAGTCTTGTCTACAATGGTTTTCCATATTAACTAGATTCAACCCTGCTTAACTTTCTGAGATTGCCAATTGCTGTTACCCACTGATGCTATCTAAAAGAACCTACCCATAAGATTCAGTTGCCTGTGATTGAAAATGATGGAAAGGTCATTCTGATTCACTGAAACAATCTAGAGGTCTTGGACAATTTATACATCTTCGTTCCAGGAAGAATAAGAATAAAGGAAGGTAGCGGTATCCCACTAGGTAGCGGTATTCAATGCCCCTTTAAAAGAGAATCTCTTATACCAGCAACATCAAACAGATCTCTCCTTTGCCTTTCCTCTACTATATGTAAGGATAAATGTGTGTATGTGTATGTGTTTCTGTGTGTGCTTCTTATTTTTAATGCATTGGTACTTTAAGTACCTGTTCAACATGTACATAATTTTTCTTTGAGAAATAAGACTAAAACAACAAACAAGTTTCTCTTCTCTGCCCCATCTCAAGTTGCATTTCTAAAGAATCTTAAGATTCACATCTTATATGATTCCACAATAGGACACCCACAGGTGTTATATTATATTCTGTAACAATGTAAAATTTAACTATGTGAAACAATAACATAGCAAGCAACAAGGAGCAATATTTTTAAATATTTCTGTGTTTTTGAAAAGCCATGTTTTCACAGCCATGAAAACATGTAATAAGGAGAGAGTATTCCAGGTATCTGGGTTGGACTATTTCAGAGGATGAGGGGCCATCATTGTAAAGCTTTGAGCATATAGTCTTTTCCCAGTAACTGGAATCCCCTCAAATTTGGGATCCTCAGTAAAGGGGCCATTATATTCTCATAAATAATATATAAGATACTAGAATAATGCCAATAGTTGATTTTCAATTAACTGTGTGTTTTTGTTTCTGTACTTTTACTTTTCCATTCCAATCTGTCTATCATCTCAGAGGGGTGAGCAGGTGTTCAGAATAGCAGATGTTGACCCAAGATCTTCCTGGCTATGGTCCACTACTTCTGCTCACTGCTAATTTTCAATGTCAACTTCTACCTGTGACCATGCATGCAATAACCTCACGCAACTTTGATTAGATTAGGAGATAAGAGGACAAATGGCCCTTGCAGCATCTTTTCCTGAATAGTAAAAAATAGCATACTGGTTAGTCCCCATATTCTGAAAAAGAAAAAGCACCCCAATCAAGACAGAAGCAGATCTATTGATCGGTTTCTGAGTGATTAATGATTAGCACTTGTAACAGCAGCCATCACTCCCCTCTTCATTCACAAATATCCATAAATTCAATTCTTGGTGACTTCAGGAACACAGCTACACAGAATAATTTTATTGGCAGCAATATCCGCATGATTTGCCACTTAAGGATGTTTCCCCAATTTTCCAGTATAGCCTAAAATGATATTACCTGAGAATTTCCCTTCCAAGGGAAAGAGTAACCAGTTTTGATGGGGTGCCTGAAAATGGGGGGGATGGGGGATGAAAAGAGGATGTCCAAAAAGTCAAAATGGCAAACCATGTGATGATAAGCCCCTCCTCTTTCTACATCCGTCCCCGCCCCTTTCTATGTGAGTATGTGCCGACGAATCCGGTTCGATTCCCAGCGATCACGTGGTAGATACGATCAATTTTTCACGTGCCTCAGTTACAAAAAAGGTGGGGCTTCCATCGCACGGTTCTCACTGCCATCTTGACTTTTCTGACTCCGTCCCTGCAGGTGTGACACCCCACGGCAAGTTCCCGGGTTCGAGCACCGTTCTTGGCCTCAAAATGCCCGAATTAACTTTGCTTCCCCCCTAAAAAAGGTGTTTGTGGCAAGCTTCTAGTGTGATTCCCCTCCCCACCCCCCCGAGGCAGCTAAATAAATGAAAAGCTGTTCCCTCCCGTTTCGCACCGACTCGGGAAGGGGCGGTGACGAAGGAAAGGTGGGCCAAAGGCAAACCAGCCTTTTCGCTTTTGCCTGGAACTGAGCGCTTTTCGTGTCGTTTGTCTCCAGTCTCTTCCCGTTTCCCGCTGCTGCTGCTGCTGCCGCCGCTGCTGCCAACACTGTACCCCTCTCCGGACCCGGCGGACTGGCACGGCTGAGACGGCCTTCCTCGTTTTTCCTCACCGACCGCGGCCCGCCCACTTGCCAGCGCATCCTCGGAGCGTCTCCGGCATGGACCGCGCGCGGCGGCAGCGGGAGGCCGAAACAGGTAAATGGGCGCGGGCCTTTCGTCAGGCAGCACCGTGGCTCGGTCCGACGTTCCGTCGAGGGGGAGGCCTACTCGTGGCGGCGGCGGCGGCGGCCGCCTTAGGACGAGAGCATGAAAGTAAAGATGCTGTCAGGCGAGGTGCTGCTTTTCTTCGGCGAGAGCAAAGGCCGTTTTGGCGTTGGGGCGCCCCGGTTTCCTTCCCGCTGTTGCGAGGAAGAGCCGCGCTCGTTTCCACACCGCTTGGTTATATAGCAGGGCACGGAAAAGCGGATGAGGATGGGAATCGCTTGGGCTCCTGAAACATAAATCCCTTTATTTTGAATGGGTGTCTCCTAAATTTTGCAAGATGTCTTAGTTCTCCTTAGGTGTATTGTTGGGGTGTATGCGGGGGAGGGAGGAAACTATACCAGAAAAATTTGAAATAACCAATGATTTGTTATTTTTTTAAAGTAATAATAGCATTTAAACCAATCTCTGAGGTAGCAATTAAAAGTCATTTAATGTTCATTGGCTGCAGCATTTTCCCCATCCCTGGCTGTAAAGGAGGCTGCGAACTAATAAAGTAACTAATAGTTTGCTGTAAGTTTAATCAGCATTGTCCCAAAACAACAGTCAGTTGGGCAGGTTTACATTACTTCAAGGATGTCTGAGAGATGCTGTAAGTCACCTTTGTGGAAATGACCTGTGTTAACTGGTAACCTTGGCAGCATTAAGGAACTGGTTTGATGAGTTCCTATATTTGGGGGGAGTGGGGAAAGCATCCCTTCTCTAATCCAAGGGTAAGCAAAAGATGGAACTAGATCCATAAACCATGTCTGAGTGATTTCTCATTGCCTGTTGCCCTCTAATATATGATTAAAGACACAACAAACAAGGAAGTAAGACAAGAAACATTCAGTGTTCCCCCTCACTTGTCTGCTGGCATAATACCCATATGTTACATTATTTTCAAGGGAAGTAATCTAAAAAATTATTAAAACATATAATTATTTCCATCAGGTTAAAAAGTAATCCTGAAATAATTACCCTTTGATAATGCTCCTTCCACCATTTAATTTAGTGAAATTGTTGAAAATTGTTTAACGGTTATTGCAGCTCAAACCAATAATTTCTGCTTATGGTTGCATTGCTGAATCAAAGTATCTGGGAGAAAATGGAGTTGAATTCATCTTCAGATTAAAATTCAGATTAATTTTACACCATCAGCTTTTTGAGATAGGCCAGGTCAGGAAACTGAGGTTGCAAAGATTACAGGAATGCTTCTTTGTTACTCTCAGTTATAATAAAAGAATCTTGAAAGCCTGCTAGTTTTATTTTGACCCTTCTTATACCAAACAGAATCAAGATGAAGTTACAATATTTGTTCTTCATGTTTTGCCCTGGCCTGTTAAAATGTTGTTTGTGTGGAAAAGCTGCTTAGCTATTCAAAAGTTTCTTTTCTTCCTATGGGACAGTCTACAAATTTGTTAAAAGTTTTACAAAGGCATGACTTGTGAAATCCTGAGGCAGTAAAGAATTCCCATACCATGACATTACCACTTTCATGCTTTATAGTTACTATGAAGTTCTTATGGAATTCAGTGTTGATTTAAAGAGTTGTGGTAGCACAGTGGTTGGAATACAGTGTGGTAGGCTAACTCTGCCCACTGTCAGGAGTTCGATCCTAACTGAACCAAGGTTGACTCAGCCTTCCATCCTTCCGAGATTGGTAAAATGAGAACCCAGATGTTGGGGGCAATATGCTGACTCTAAACCATTTAGAAAGTGCTGTAAAGCACTATGAAATTGTATATAAGTCTATTGATGTTGCTATTTAACGCTTTAGTTTTATTTCAGTCAGAAATATATATCTGATAGAATTTAACTAATGACTCAAAATGTGGAGAGTCAATCCAGGTTTTTCAGTCAATGTTCAGATGAACAACAGTGTTTTTCTTCTTAAATAGTGGTTTCCTCCTTGTGACTTGGAAGTACAGGTTGCAAACTTGCAAACAATTCATTTCTTGATCATTCAAAGTTACAGCAGCACTGAAAAAAGTGACTGTTTTTCAAACTTACAACCTTTGCAGCACCCCATTGTCATTTGATCAAAATTCATATGTTTGGCAACTGACTCATATATATGATGATTGCAGTGTCCTGGGGTTATGTGACCCTAACCCTAACCCTAACCCTTCTGACAAACAAAATCAATGAGGAAGCCAGATTCACTTAACGTGTTACTAACTTAACAACTGCAGTGAATCACTTAACAACTATAGCAAGAAAGATCAAAAATGAGGAAAAAATCACTTAACTACTAGCTCACTTAGCAACATAAATTTTCAGCTCAATTGTGTCGAGGATAAGTCGAGGATCACCTGTATACATCCTTGAGAAATGAGGAAGCAAGGCTTGCAAGGGCAAAACATTCTGGAGAGAAGGCATTGTTTAGACTAGAGATATATAACAATGCTATCATTTTTTTAACTGAAGGAAGACCCTTGTCAGGCTTGTCAATAAATACTAACAGATGACCAGAGCATTGTTTATGATAATGGCCTTCCATGTAAATAAATTCTGAATAAATCTGTATTCAATCACTGATCCTTAGCAGGTGGCTCAGAGTGACTCAGACATTATTTTGGTCACCAAATCTGAAGAAATCTGCATAGCTTTGAAAAACTTAGCATCTAATGAGGCAAGATGATCTGAATGTTTATTGATGCATGGAATCTGAATCCATCTTTAGGATAAACTAAATAACCCCCCTGGATCATCATTTCAGAGATATTTGCTTACTAAATTCCTCAAAGTCTACAACAATGGCAGAGCATCTAATGTACTTGAACAGTTTTAAAAATTCAGGGAGATGTATAAAGCATTGAAAGTAGTCTATGTCGAATTGTATAGCACTGTCAAAGATCAGCGGTTGATCACAGGAAATTGTTGTATTTTGTATTGTGTGATAATATGTTTTATGATAATTTTTATGTATAAATTATTTCATAGAATTTGCCAAATTTAAATTCACTGGAATTTCTGAGTCCTAGATTTTGTACACATTCTGTATATTAGCTTATTTCAGATACAGATGTCTTGTTTAAAAGGTTTTGGCCTATGATAACACCATTTCACCTAGTTAAAGGTTACAGACATGAGCATTTTAATAATATATAGATTCAGTTTAAGGCACTTACTAATGGTAAATTACCTAATTTTAAAATTAGTTATACTCTTCTTCCAACTCTAACTGCTATATTAAAATTTCAACCAATTACAGAGAACAACACTCTAGGAATGCAGAAGATCATTCAAATTTTGTTGACTTTTGGTTGTCCCAGTTACTATATAGAATGATTCTAATTTGTACAACTCCAGGTGATGATAGTGGTTATCTTTTCTAAGTATCATGTTATTAAAGTTTTGTAGGTTACTGCCTGGTTTTTCAAACTATCTTTCAGCTAATCCAGATCTTTTATATTTTTCTTAAAGTAGACTCTGACTAGCCATTGGTTTCTGGGCACTGATTTCAAAAACTGGCATTTAGTTGTCCCAGTTCTTTCAAGTTAACACAATAATTAGTTTTGAAATATAAGGATGAAAGGAATAGTTGTTCAGCTGCTTTCTGTTATATTATCTTGCCAGTTGCCTGTTTTAATTAAGGTATTCAGAAAGGAATTAGTTATTTCTAGGAAGTGTTGGCTGATTTCATTCATAGGAACTTTATCTTGTAGGGAAGAAAATCTCAATGCAGAAAATTTTTAATTTTTAATATTTTTATATTTTCATTCCCCTCTCAGTATTGAAAGGTAAATGAAAGAAACCTCTCCTGATATTCACTTGTATGCACACAGCAAAAACTATATAGGGGGAATGGGTTTGATGGCAACAACCCTCAGTTTCCTAGCAAATCACATTCATGCTTGTAGAAATATTTTAAATAGTATCCTAAATAATATTCAAGTATAATCTATTATTGCTCAAATATTTTTGCTGTATTAAATGTTGTCAACTTAAATGCTACTTCATTTAGTGCTATTTTCTTTTCTTTCTTTTTTTTTGAAAATTTTATTTAGGTTTTCACAAAAAAAACATAATACAGATAAAACATCTTTTTTTGAAAATAGCATGGTCCCGGGTTACACTTCTTCATACAGACATAAACTCAATTTCATGCTCATTTTTGTGTTCTATTCCATATCTTATTACTGTTTTACATTTTCTGCATAGTTTTTCCCCTTTTTTAATTTTCTCAACTTTATTTTGATTATCTCATCTCAATTCAAATCATTATATTTATACTTTTGTCCGTCCTGTTTCAATTTCATATTATTTTTTCTCATTAAACAAATTTTCTCCTGTAGTTACTAATTGGAGTATGACACCTTTATATCTTTTAATTTTATCCATTCAACTCTTATTTAAGCTTCAATGTATACTTTTAAGATTAAAACGTTCAATATAATACATAACTTACAATCAAATTCTGCTTGGTACATTCTTAAAATACACACTATATTCTTTAAAAAAAGGATTATAAATATATGTAATTAAAACCCTCATTCCATTCCAATTCAGTTCTATCATTAATATTCATTAAAGTCTTAACATCTTTAACATTTCTTTTCAATTAAATATCATACTTCCTTGGGGACACGGATAATCTTTCCATAATCAATTTTTCCCCTATTTCTCTTCACTTATGTTTTATAAATCATTAAATATTCATTTTGGCCCTTCCGGTTTGACAGGCTTCGGAGGCAGCAGGAATTCGTGTTTGTGCGCGATTCCTGCTGTGCTCGCTGCTGGAGTGCCTTCGATCCAATTGGATTAGGAGGCTATAGTTATCCTGTAGGGATAGCTGAAGAGAGGGGGGATCCAGGCAGGGGTCGGGGGATATCACACACCCCCTTCCCAGCCGGCTTAACTCCCTTTTCCGAAGGTGGTGGAGCGACGGTCAGCAATGGCTGTCACAAAGAACCTCTCAACCAGACAAGTTATGTGCTGGAGGAAGTGAAGACAGAGAAAGCTTTTGGCTGAACCGGGACGACAATTAACATCTGAATACCCTGGCACTTTGGCTTTTTAAGTGATATATTGTTTCCCAGAGGATCGTTAAGCTGCGGTGGAAAGTAAAGGGAAAGTTTTTTCTCTCCTCACTTTCCTTCCCACAGAGACAGCAGATGGAAATCGGAAATACCCGCTTTGGCAGTAGAAGGTACTAACTTTCAAAATTGAAGCCAAGGGGACATTAGATTTCTAAATACTGATATTTTAAAATTTAAATCTTTTTGCTTTAAGTGGGAAGGAAGAGAGGTAAATGATTTATACTAATGTTTGTTGAAGGAGACTGCTTGGAGTTTTATAAGATTAGAGATTAAATCGCAATAAAACTTCCAAAAAATGCCTTGGAATTGTGTAATTGAATGTTGCCCCAGGAAGAGAGAGTAGAAGAAAGAGAAACAGACTGTGCTGACTGTGCTGACTTTGATTGCTTGATGACTTTGGGACCTTAACTATCTTTTGAAAGACTAAGAAAACATTTGGATTGTCTAAAAAAAAAATTTTTTTTTTTTACAATGGTATCTGTTGAAGAACTGAAAATGCAATTTGAAAGACTAAGAGAAGAGGAAGAGGGCTCTTTTGGATCTATCTTTTGCTTTTTAGAAATGGCGATTTCTGCTTACCAGGAAATGCAACAAGAAAAAGGCTGGGATGATGAAGAAGAAGCCATCTTTAATGGACATATGATTTTAAAAAAGGGTAAAAAGGAGAAGAAAATGAAGAATTTAAGTTCTAAAAAAACAATCAAGAAAGGGAAAAGTAAGGTGAAAAATCGATATAATGATAGAAAGCAACAGAAAAGAGGAATACAACAGAGAGGGGAGATTAAAAAGTTGGAGATTGAGAGGGGGGGCAAAAAGGTTAGATTCGATAAGGAAGGAAGGGACAAAGCGAAGGGAAGTTATAAAGACTTAAAACAAGATGTTAATAAACAATTTTTTTTTCAGAGATAAAGGGTAAAATATAATTTAAATAGAGATTCTGCAAAAGTACACAAGATTGTATTTTAGTATTTGTATTTGAAATATGTGTTAATAGAATACTGTAGGGATTGTGTAATTAATGTTTAATTAACTAATTTGTTATGGAACACTATTTTTAATATACTATAAGATTATTATGTTTTATATTTTAAAATGTTATGTAGAATGTACTAAGCAGAATCAGAATAGAAACTATGTCTAATTTTAAGTGTTAAATTTGGGGGGAAAATAGAAAGGTGTCATACTTCAACCAGTCATTACAGGAAAAAGTTTGTGTTAAAGAGAAAGATAAATGGATAATTGAAAAAGAACGGACAGAAGATACAAGTGTAATGGTTTAAATTGAGATGAAGTAAATAAAATAGAATTAAGAGAGTGAAAAGAGGGGATAAGACATATAGAAAGTATAGAATGTTAAATAAGATTGAAATAGTATATAAGGTGAGCATGAATTTGATTTATGTCTGTACAAAAAGATGTAACCCGGAGTTAAGCCTCTTTCTAAAAAGAAGTTTTATGTTTTTATGTTATGTGTTTTGTTAGTCTATGTTTGTCTATTGAGGAGTAATGATGTTGGATAAGAACATATGAAATAGTAATAATATGAAATATAGTAATATGAAATATATGAAAGTATAAGTCTAATGAATAAAATTGAGCAGAAATAAAGGAAGAAACAGTAAGAAGGTGGAAAACAGTAATAAGATATGAAGTTGAATATATAAGATGCATATTAAATTGTGTGTGGAAACGTGATAATTTAGAACTATATTGTACTTAAATGAGATGTCTTATGTTCTTTTGATATTACCATCCAAAACAAAGACATTATATTATGAATTCTAAATATTCCACGTTTATTTCCTTGTTGTATTCACAATTTCTGTCCCCAGTCTTTAGGGGACCAACTTATTTTGTATACATTCAATCCAATTTTTTTATTTTACAGATCAATTTTTCTTTGTAATCCTCTGATGCATTCCGTTATATTTTTCCTTTTTTATGTTTTTATTTTACAACATTATTCCATAAGCTGTAAAATTTAACTTGATATCCATTTTTTTCTTTATCTTTTTCAGTCTGAGCTTTTCTTTACTAATTGATGTCAACAATTCATTGTAGTTTGATCCTGTTTAATATTTTCCTTTTGATGTTTTTCTAATTTATTCTCATTTTGTCACAACTGAATTATGACTAATCTATATATATATAAACATGAAATGCCACTCACGCAACATCACAAAATATCCAGAACCATAAACCTACAAACTTGAAATTTGGCACGTATGTTCCTCTTGGCTTCTAGCTGCTCGCTAAGAAATTTTTTTTTGAAATGACCATCAGAGCATTAGTTCTCCTATATTATTAAGGAGCTAAGGAGTTTTACTCCCCCTCGCCACCTGAAAAGAAACTGCAGTTGAGCTAAGCCACACCCAGGCTCCTTGCTGTCTCCTTGCTCACACAGCAAATACTGTTTAAGTCTCCAAACAGCCCTCCACTATCTCACACACTGACAGGATGATCGATGGATGCTGGTTGGCAGAGGCACATTTTTTTTCCATTTATTTTCCTCCCCAAAAACTTGCCCGATCACATAGTTTCTTAGCGAAGCATGGGTACCATACTACTAGTAACTATATAAGATCCTGAGCATGTTTTATACCCAACAAGAATAGAATTATTTCTGACCATATTTGCAGGTGATACCTAGGCTTGTAGTTTCCTACGTGGTAACTAATTAAAAATATAGGTAATTACTGTTTTTCTTAAACTCTTATACACAGTACCCATCTGTTCCTGGTAGATATGTCTCATGTTGCAATCTATTCTTCAAAAGTCTTTCTTGCCTACTTAAAAATGTTTACTGGGCTTGTCTTGAACTATTTTGTACAAACACACTTTCAGAAATGTGAAATGATTTTAGAAATGATTTTAAATTTTATATTTAAAATCTGTCCTGGTTCACCATTTATCATCTTCTCCGAACCCCCTAATTATAACACTAAGCTAAAGTAACACTCATCACTAGTATTTCAGTCCTCTTCCCTTCCCCCTGAACCCATAAAACAGTTTTGGGTAAGTATAACTCCTTGTTTCCTTAGCCCAACAATTTTCCCAGGGGAGTTTCCCAGTCTGCATCTAACAGGGTATAGATATTCCACAGCTTACAACTACAAGTAAGTCCAAATTTTTTGATTATGCAGTAAGTTGTTTTGATCATTAAATGAGATGCTCAACTGTTTCAGTTGTTGTTAAGGGACTGCTTAACTATTAAGCACATGGAATGAAAGAGCTGCCTGCCAAAGGAATCCATAGCATACTGTAGTTTTTCCCTTTGTTGATAGAAAAGAAGATTCACTCTGAGTCTGTGGAGATTCTCAGTCATCCAGGTCATGGTAGTCACAAAGGTGCTTTTTCAGGAGGCAACTGGACTTTCTTGTTTTTTCTTTTTTTTTATGAGAAGTAAAAAAGAAAAAACAAGAAAAAAACAAGAAAGTCCAGTTGCCTCCTAAAAAAGCACCTTTGGGATAATCATAATTAAATGTTAGAGTAATTCCTTCAGGACAGCTTATATCAAAACATAAACAACATGCTTATAATTTGGGATTTAATAGTAAAACAGTGTTTTGTATTATGATATGAATGTGAAACCTTGGGCTTGGTCAGTACTTGCTGAAACTAATCAGCCTTGGGCTTGGTCAAAGACTTGATGGGGAACATATGGGAAACTTACATTTCCTTCCAGACCTGAATGGCAAGAAATAAATCAGTTTGGAGTATTAGGATGATGTTGCAAAGACAAGACATAGTTAATCTCATCCATTTGTTTAAGCTTATTGAAAGGGTATGGAAGAAGGATAAAAGTAGAGCTTTATTAAGGATAAACTAGCTTGTGCATAGAAATATTGAAGATGGACAAAGAGTAAAAAGGGGAAAGAAAAAATCTTACAATATATACATATAATAAGGTTTTGGAAGTAAAAATATTTTTAAAAATTATACAATGCTAATAATATATTGAATTTTATTTTATAGCGACCTTGAGTGTTCATTACCTCCCTGGATATATCTAATGTATGGCACATGAATATATAACCTTTTCCAGATTGAGTGACTTGTATAATAGAAAAGGTAAGAGCCCCAATTTAATTATGATTTAAAATATTGAGTCCATGATTGCATAGTATTTTCATACAGATTGAAATGACTAATCCCCTCTGTTGTTGTTGTTATTATTATTATTATCATCATCAAATTGGTAAAAGATTTTTCTTTAGGATAATCTGTCCCCAGCTTTGTGTTTCAGGTCTTCCAATGAGTTATTTATTACCATTTATTTATTGCCATTTATTGCCATTTTAATCGAGTCTATCCACCTTGCTGCTAGTTTTCTTCTTTTATATTCTTTTATCTTTGAATATGTGTCCATCTTCACATCTTTTAGCATACCAATTTAAGCCTGAATTCTCCTGAATTCAGAGATAATTTCAAAGACTTCCTTTTTTCCATGCCTATTTCTAGTTTTAGGTTCATTACAGATGTTGTAAAACTGATTTATGCCTCATTAAATAATAATTTTATTAAAGTTTAGAATATAAACTAAAAAATACAAAAATAAAACAAAAAAGTGCAGGAAACAAATCAAAAACAAAAAAAATCAGTACTTTTTTAGGCCTTGTCATTTGGTTCTAATTAGCAAAAATCCATTGAAGATTAACATATGTATCTGCTACCGTTAGCCAAGGCCCCTAAAAGAACTTTTGCCAAGTGGCATTCGACCTGGACTTGCTGTAAAGGCATTGACATGCACATTGGGAAATTGGGAAATGCCAGGGTTTAGTTGTGACAATAAAACAGTTAATCCCTTCTGGTGTGAATGTGCTCATTCACCTGAATGAGCCTAAACAGGATAGTCTGAGTACAAGCAATGGCATGACAAGGTAGCAGCAATTATGCATTGGAAGATCTGCAAGAAATACCATTTGCCTTCAAAGCAAAAACCGATGGGACCAGAAAATAAAGTAATAGAATATGAAGAAGCTAAAAGATCCAATCAGACAAGCTCCTGCCACATAACACGTCAAATTTAGTAATTGTCAATAAGAAAGACAAAGAATAGTGGATAGTGGGTGTTGCAATATCTAAAGATCACAGAATAGAAAAGAAAGAACTGGAGAAAAATCAGAAAATACAAAAATCTGCAAATAGAAATAAAACAATTGTAGCAAAAGAAACTAAAGATAACTACCAATAATAATAGTTGCTTTGGGTACAACCCCAAAACATCTGGAGTACCACCTGAACACCATCAGCATTGACAAAATCACCTTCATTCAATTTTTTCAGGCTTTGCTTGGAACAACTTAAATTCTGCAGTAATACTTTTAACCTTCAAACAACAACATTTGCCTATCCCAGGTCCTTGGGAAGGACTTGATAGTCTCTGCAAAATTTAGTCAAAATATCTGATTGACTGTGTGACCAATCATAATAATAGTAATAATTGAAGCCAATAACAGCATATAGTTGATAATAGACAAGTCAATGCTGCTTTTGCTGGTGGCTGATCATCTAACTCTGAGTAACACTTGCTGCTAACCACCTCTCTTTCAAGGCTAGGGAGGTCCCAACAGACTTACATTAATCAACCTTCTATCAGATACCAATCATCAATTGACTCTTAGATATTTATTGGCCATTCATTCATTTATTGACTGCTGGGATGATCATCATACTTTTGGTGACCTTGGTGGGGTTAAATCATTTTAGCATATACTCACAGTGTCCGTTGGTCATTCCTCCAAAGAAAACAGCAACAATAAGGCAAGAATTGGCGAGAATTAAGGTGCTATGCTTTTTAATAGTAACCAAATATATGGAATTTGTGTTTAGCAACTGTATAGCGTTATAGAAATTGGAGAAGTTAGGTCTGCATGCGGTCATCCTTTTTTGTGGTATTCAAAAAAATAGGTCCCTCCCTATTAAAATCTGGTGATATAGTTTGCTGTTATTTTGTACAGAAATTCAGAAAAACATGAAACTTAATCCATAATTAAAGAGCTCAAATATCCTGAATTTAAAGGCAAAGTTTTGAGGTCTGTTCCTTAAAACATTGCCTCTAAATCCAAGAAAACGAAATTTAAGATTCAGAACCCATAGATTTTACTGTGATTTGGTCACTGTGATCCCTGCATGCCTTCCAAATATTAAATGTGACTTACAGCCAGCCATTTATTGTACACCTTTGTCTTAAAATCTAATTTTTGTGCTTCAGTTAAGTCTAAACTTGCACATCTTACATTCCTTCTATTGTCCCATATAGTATTATGAACATTAGTTCTTCTGATTGGTCTAGTTAAGTAGTTCTATTTTATTTTTTTTAAAGACTTTTAAATTATTGATTGAAAACCAAATTTATGCTCTCTGCCTAAGATAATATATTTTCTACAGATCATGGAATTGTATTTTATCATAATCCATTGCCACATATTCTTATTTACATCATGTACAATAGAATTCTTTATTGGCCAAGTGTGGTTGGACACGTAAGGAATTGTCTTGGTGCAAATACTCTCAGTATACATAAAATAAAAGATACATTCGTCAAGAGTCAAGAAGGTACAACACTTAATGATAGTCATAGGGTACAATAAGCAATCAAATTGTACTAGGAAAGAGTCAATATAAATTGTAAGGATACAAGCAACAAAGTTACAGTCATACAGTCAGGTGTTAAGAAGCAATGAGAAGATCAACAGTAATAGTAGTGCAAACTTTGCAATAGTTAAACAGTGTTGAGGGAATTATTTGTTTAGCAGAGTGATGGCTTTCGGGAAAAAACTGTTTTTGTGTCTAGTTGTTCTGATGTGCAGTGCTCTATAGAGTCATTTTGAGGGAAGGAGTTGAAACAGTTTATGTCCGAGATGTGAGGGGTCTGTAAATGTATTCACAGCCCTCTTCTTGACTCATGCAGTATACAGGTCCTCGACTGAAGGCAGGTTGGTAGTAAGGCAGTCCTTCCATGTATATCTGTTAATATCACAAGAATGCCAAAGTGAGTGGAATTCAAAGTTATAATTCACAAAGAAGAGACTATATGTTATATTTCAGAAGGCATAGGAAAAAGCTATTTCAAAATGGGAAAACCTACCATGCAGATGAGTCAGACATATTTATCTTGCTACTTATGTATTTATTTAGCAATAGTTATAAGCCATGTAATCCTAATGGACTCTGGGTAGAATGCAAAAAATCAAATGCAAAAATCAGAACAAAAATAAATGTTTAATAAATGACTTAATTTATTAATAAATGTAATAAACAAAAGAAACAAAAATTTATTACAAAAACTTATTAATAAATAACTCAATGTAATCAGTCAGTATAAAGCTATTAATAAAAATAGGCATTCTTTAACGTTAAACTAATTTATTTCAAAGGTTTAACACTGGCTGAAAGGACTCTAGTTTGGTTGTAAAATGCTAACAGGAATGTGGCCATCTATACCTCTACAGAAGTATTTATCAGCCTTAGCAAGTTTAAGACGTGCAGACTTCAGCTTCCAGAATTCTTCTATATAAATTGTGGACCATCACTGAGAAGACCTGCTACCTTGTCCATGATCTATCTAGCTCAAAAGGAGATGGGTCTGCAGTAGGCACTATCTTGATACATTATTAAGAGTATATATTAAATCAGTTCTCTTGCATTGAAACTATTATACTACTTCTAATTGTTGTAATGGGTATTTTGATGTGATTAAGCATTTTTCTTAATTGTCTCTTTACAATGCTCACTTTATTAGCAACAAAAGATGGTTCTATTCCTGTAGTACTTCAGTGAAAACAGTAAAAATTCATAAGCTATTCAGCTTTGGTATATTTTATTTATCATGTAATATTAACTGCACATGATATTATAATTTGTAAGATGTTTTGAACTCTGTTTAATGTTAAAAAAATACCCAGAAGTTAGTATAAATATGAGTATGTTTAGTAGTATCAGATAATAATTTAAAATGTTTATAATGGATCATTAACATGAACATTTCCAAGTTGTATTTATCTCAAGGAACTTTTTCAAAAGTGTTAGGTTTTGTCTTTTGTTATTTGATTATTTGCTTTTTTCAGTTATAAAATGATAAGTATACAGTATTTCCTATTTGGTGGAAGAAAATTGACTTCATGACCATTTCTTATCTGATGAATTATGAAGAATTAATGGCTTATTTTCTTCCATAGGCAAACGGACAACTGGAAAATTGAACTTCCCATTCTGTGAGGCTTGCCTTGGAGAATATAATTTTATCAGTAATACAGCATGTTTATGTGGACAGTTCACAGATACACATCTTTGTAAAAGACAAACTGGCTGCCAGATAGCAACTAGGTTACCAAAATCAGAACTAAAGCACTTGTCACTTTGTAAATGCCATTATGATTCTAGTAAAGAAATACACAAGAGTGCTACAAGTGGAATTCTGAGAGCTGAAAATCAAAGAGTTCTATATCTGGCTAAAAGTAATGACAGGACTGGAAGATTAATGGAGGCACTTTGCCTAGAGTTGAAATCAGCTAACTTTGAGATGAATAATAAAAAACTATGCTTCAGAGTGTCTAATCTAAAAGCAAGTATTTCAGCTTCACTAGCTCAGAATGATGGATACGCTGTAAAAGCTTTTCATAGAATACCACAGAGTTTGAGAAAGAGGCTTGTCTCACTACCTACTTTATATGGAATATCCACAATTGAGAGGCCTGTTTTTTCTAGGCAACATGAGACACAGCATTTTAATTCAAAAGATTGCTTACTACTGAAATCCAACAAAGTACATGATTATTTTCAGTTCCAACTTGAATCAGATACTTCCGAGCTTTCAAAGAATTTTTTAGTTACTTCTTACGGGATATTAGCACAAGAAGAAACTGGGTTTAATCCTGTTTGGAAAGCTTCAAAAAGTTATTTTGAGAGTGCTGTTACTGATCAACAGCTGTTCTTACCTTCATCAGAGAATATTGCAAAAGAAAATACTCTCCAGCTGCATATCATACCTTTTTATCTTCTTCAGCCCTTCACAACTATTGAGCAAGAGTTGTACAAGAAAAAAAGAAACCAGTTGAACAATTTGGGGAGAAAACATAGGTGGCAAGACCAGGTATGTATTATAACAATTTATAGATTATATTAGATGAAAAAATTTTCTATGAGGACTAGGTAGAGTTTTGGTGTATTGTGAAATTCTTTCTGAAAGTTTCCTTGGAACTTCCAGACATAAAAATAGCCTATCATATTTAACATTTATCTCAATTTTTATTTCAATATGTCCAGCATTTTGTTTTGTAGAAAACTGTTCTACAATCCTCATGAAATATACATTCAATATCGTATCTATTCTGGAATGTAAAGATTTTCTTTCAGACAAAGTTTTCTTATTTTCTTATTTATTTTTTAAACATTTTGAAATTGTGACTAAAATGTAAACGTGCGTTAAAATATACAACAGCAACTATAAATGAGAAGACAATGGCAACAATGAGTAAAATGGATGAATAGTATCAATTATAGGACTGTCTTTGGAGCACAGCAAGCATTTGTCCCTACAGTCATTAGGAACTGAACTAGATACAGTGGCAACGAAAGCAGAAATAAAAGTAAACAAATTCCAGTGTAGGAAAATATTAACAAGTTCACTACAAATAAAATTAAAAGGCATGGGAGAATAAAATAGATGTTGAAAAGACAATATTAGAAAACAAAACAGGAGTCTAAAATGATATATTCATGACAACAGAAAAGTTGTTAACTTTCTAATTTTTAAATGAACCTTATCAGCTATTTGTTTTAGACTCTTACAAACACAAAGAGTGGCAAATGACAAACAAAACAAAAAATACCACAAAAGCGTAAAAATATCATGATACAAACACTAGTTTAAGTACTAATGTCCAATATCAAGGTGTAAGTATGAAAGAAAGTGTTCCATGATTCTTGACTGCGAGCTGCCCAGGATTTGTTTTAAGATAGGGAGATATATAAATGGTTTAAATAAATAAAATATGGTTTGAATAAGTTTATGAATGTATGCAATCTAAGGGAAAGGTTAGTAAAGCTAATGTATAGTGGGTATATGAGACTACAGAAAAAAATATCGCAGATGAATGAAAATCATGATTGCTGAAAATCTGCTTAGAAAAAGGTCTGTTTGTTTCAAATGCAGGGTTTAAATCTGTTTGTAGGTACCAATTGAAAGGAATGACTGAAAAAGATGATTCATTTGTTTGTGAAAAAATACTGTGAGAATTAAAAAAGCACTACATCCACAGAATGTTGTTTCTATTGGACCCCTAGTTTCTATTATGTTGAAATTAACTCCTGTGTAGTATGCTGCAACATTCAACTTCTTCCATTCACCCTTTTTTATCCTTTTAGTTAAGCCATTTGTATAATTCACCCTGTACATTAAGAAGTTATACATTTTTAAATATAAAGACGTGTATAGTTGCATCAGCATTCCTATCAACTTTCAGTCCCTTTTAGCGTGTTAACACACAATGGTAGTTAATTCTTATTTCCTGAATATAAGAACTATATTTTTTAAAAAATATCCTACTAATGCTGCATTTATTATATACCATGCCAGCATGATATAAGTTAATCGTATGTCTGAGTTACATTTTCTTTTCTTCATTGACTAATTTTTTTGTATCAAGGAATTCTCAAATAGATATATAGATATATAGTAACAGAAGTGTGGGTTTTTTCTAACAGCAGGGGGCACCAAATTTCCTCAAGTTACCAAGCAAACAAACTTTAATAAATAAGATGCCACATGCTATATTATGCTCAAAATGTTTTATAAAGTAAACTTGAACACTATTTCATTTGTTGGCTGCAGAATTTAAACATAATAATGTTTATACCTGGCATTGAAATGCAGCATCTGCTAACTTTTGTACAATAAGTTGTCTCCTATGACTGATTTTATTGCATTTTCAAAATGCTGGTGATAAATATGTATTTATAAATATGTGTAGCATCTTAGTCAAGGAATTGAATTTTTGTTTCTTAAAAGTCAATGTCAAAAAATCTCAATACCATATAATCATTGGGTGAGCTTTACAGAAGATATAAAACAGAACCTCTACTTCTTCTTGTTCCTAAGAATTTAATAAGTGCTTTACATCATTATCAATGAGAGTTAATTTTTTTAATGAAAACTTGTACTCAGAATCATTTTTGGAGCCATGAAAATATTCCATCTCCCAAACCCTCAATTGTATCAAACTTCATAGGAAACGTAGATTTCTCAGACTGCACCCTGGAAAGATTAAATAGGAAATTTGGTTTTCTTCTAGAAAGTTAGAAAGAACTTATTTTTATTAGATTAAACACTCCAGAATTTGCACAATATTGCAAAGATATTGCAACATAATTACTACTCAAAAGTATTTTCTAACTAATTTAAACAACCTAAAACAAAGATTCAATTCAAAAACCACTGTCATTATTAAGAGAGAAGGAAGCAGAGAAAGTGGCATTTGTTAACATTATTAAGGTTAGATACTGGCCCCTACCTTCTCTGGAAAGGCATTCTCCAGAAAAGAGAAACAGAATGGAGATATTAAGAAAGTAATATGATATCCAAGGAAATCAACTGACTTTAAAAGTTTGCCTCAGGGTGACCTCAATGCACAGAGAATAATGAGAAGCAGCTCCAGTACAAGTCATCAAGAGTACTGTAGCAGTTGCAATATGTTGGCTTTCAGGGATTCCGCTCCAAGCTATTAAAGGAAAATAAATATTTGTTACATTTCTTACAGATAGTGTTTGTTCCATGGAACCTAGGAGGCATTTGGTGTGTTATTTTAGAATGCAATGAAGTTTCTACCAGCAGTAGTTAGGTCAGATACTAAAGAGTAAAAAATGACAATTTTTTAATCAGAATCCTTTAAAATTCCATAGGTATAAACTTATCTACTTTTCAGTAATTTCAGGTGAGGGGATATAAAGCTGAAGTTTATTGGTTGAGTGCCAGAAAAACAGAGTGGGGACAAAGAGCTCAGTTGATGCAGTAGTTAGATTAGGAACTGGGAGACTGAGTTCTAGTCCCAGCTTAGACACAAAGGCAGCTGGGTGATCTTAGGCTTTCTCTCAGCTCTGGAAAGGAAGTGATGGGAAACCACTTCTGAAATCTTGCCAAGAAAACCTCAGGGACCCGAGTCGAAAGTGATACAGGATTTAAACAAGGTCCTTATTAAAAATGTTTATCTGTAAAGGCTAGAAAAATGTACTCCTTTAAGTCATGCTCAACATATGCTGACCATAGGAACATATCAGTAGAGGGTTTTTGTTTTGTTTTGTTTTTGCAACAGTATAGAAGTGCTATTTGACTACAGCCTAAGTATTTTACTGACTAAGTGAGATCTGGTGAACTTAGCACTATTAATTGTGGCTTTTATTTAAGTTCTGCTGCACTAGTCAAATTCTACCCTAGTTTTGTTTCTTCTATATAGACTTACAATAAATCTATACCAAGCATAAGTTCAATTGTTAATAACTTGATAATAAAGAATAATAATAAAATTATTTAGTGTTACAACAGTGAAACACTATTTAAATAATTATAAATGTAGTCTCAATATGACTATAAAGTTGTCTGTGGCTTTGCATGAACAAGGCCAAAAAAGAGACTGTCTAATCTTAAAATTTTGGGCATTATTGTACGTTGCACAACATTTTACTCAGTTACCGAAACACATATATAAGAAAGAACATACTAATTTCTGCATGAGTTACCTGTAAAATTTATCTAAAAAGTAAGGCATGTATAATAGCACAAATAACTAAATCAGTATGACAGAGACCTACTTCCATTTGAAATAAAAAGTTTGTGATTTTTCAAAGGTACTGTCACAATAGAACAAACTATATCTGTGATAGCGAACTATGGCACACATGCTGGAAGTGGCACACAGAGCCATCTCTGCCGGCACGTGAGCCCTTGGCCCAGATCAGGTCTACTGTGCATGCATGCGTGCCTCCCGCCAGACAGCTGATTGCCGGGTGTCTGCCGTACATGTGCGGGGGACGGGTGAGCAGGGACGGGGGTTGTGTGCACATTGCATTATGGGTGCAGGCACGCACATGCGCACTTTCAGCACACTATGACGAAAAGGTTAGCCATCACTGAACTATATTATTTAGTTCATAGGTCTATATTCTGTGTGTAATGTTTGCGTTCTTTGAAATGGTGACTTACAAAAATATGTAATCCATGACAATATCGCTTATTAAAACAACAGGGGATACACAATTAGTAACTACGTTTCTCTACCAAATGGTGATAATGGGTTCTGCTTGTACAGATAATTACAGCAGTGTTATAATTGCAGTTACAAGAGTTAATGCAATTGTTAGTAAGATAAATGATAGGCAAGCAGTCCTCATTCCTGCCATGCTGTTTCGAAATTCATTTCCATGACATTTAACTTCTTGGATTTAAAAAAAAATAGAAAAGGGTTGCAAATAAAAGTGTGATTGTAATGAAATGCAAGATACAGCCATTGTTGTAATATGGTGTTCTAATTATGGAAGGGAATGGAAAGGACGAGATGAGTTAGAATTTATCATTTATGTAATGACTGCTTGGGCCTTCATTTCAGGAATTAATGATGGCTTGGGCCTTCTTGTGGATTTCTGGATTTGCTACTTTGACAGGTAGCAGTTGAATATTTTGAGTGTCTCAGCTTCTACTATATGCATTTTTCTGTTGTTTTTAATTTTGGTTGTTTTTATTTTTTACTCTATTTTGAATGTTAGCAGCACAGAGTTAGATTTAGGAGATGGATACATACATTCATACATAACATATATACATTCATTCATTCATTCATTCAACAATTTAGAACAAGAATTACATCTTATATCAAACTGGTTAAGACTGATCCAGTCTATGTTTGTGAAAAGATGCCAAGCAAGTGTTTCGCTATCTCATCTAATACATGAGTCACTTGGTGGAGAGATAGGTGGCATAAAATTTAATTAATTAACTAATAAAAAGAAATCTATTATGTGTAGGTTGTGCTACATTTGTGGCACATATACTATGCCACATTTGATTGGTACATTTCTTCCTCAACTAATAATTTAGGATTTGGTTTCTGGGAGCCAAAGCTAAAGTACTAAATGTTAAGCTGAGATAATTGGATTAATATGTACAGGAATAATTGAACAATAGCAGTTGCAAATGAAATAATATTGAAGGACATGGAATCCGTGGTCTGTAAGTGTAGTCAGTAATAATTTAGGTGTCAAGTTGAATATGTAGATAATTCTGCTTCAGATAAACTTTGAACACTTTCATTCCTATGTTTTTCTTTGGTTGATACCATGAAAGTGTTGCTGGTACTACTTATACATGAAAAATATGGAAATGTTAATTACATTTAAATCTATATTTAAAAATTGACTGTAAATGTTACATTTCAACAGTTGCCTTTATAAAATTAGTAAAGAAATAACATTTTCTATTTACATTCATAATGGTTGCCAAATAAATTTAGTTTTTCTGCTGACCTTTCTTGGTTTTGCATATGTTCTATATAGAACTCTAAATAAAGATGATTTTGTGGAATCCTTTTGAACAAATTATATAGGACAGTGAAGTATTACTTGAGAGTGGATCAGGATGTTTGCAATTTCATTGGAACCCTGGGGGTGAAATAATTCAGTACTGATACACGCAATAACACAGCAGGTTCCTAGGTAACAATCTCATCAAAAATCGTCCTATCATACTACTAACTTAGAATGACTTGATTCTGAAATCTCAATGAAACTTTGTCCCTCACTAATTTATTTATTTTTAATGCTAAATAAATTACCTATTTTAAAGGGGACATTTAGGTTATTGAGTCCAACATCTCTTTTCTCCATGACACAATACCAAATTAAAGTATCCTCAAAAGTTCAGTTTCTAAACCAAGGGTCTTCAAACTTGGCAAGTTTAAGACTTGTGGATTTCAACTCCCAGAATTCCTGAGCTAACATGACTGGAGGAGGAATTCTGGGAGTTGAAGTCCGCAAGTCTTAAAGCTGTTGTTAGGCATCCAGAAATTATCCATAGTAATCAATCACTCCGAGACAAGCACAATCTCCAATTGTTTTATTAGGAACAGCTCTGGTATGCCTATGGAAATTTCCAAAACTGAAACTCATTCCCAGCGTGTCTCACAAAGTCCACCCTATCTCCTCCCACTTAACTACACTTCATAAATCACAAGAACCAGTTAACTGCAGCTGGAATTTTTTAATGCGACATACTAAATAACCTTGAACTGTTCAACTCCCTCACCCCCCTTCATTGTTCACATATTTTCTTGTGGCAGCTGATCTCAGAGCTGACAGCTGTCAAGTTTGAAGACCCCTGTTCTAAACTCTGCTTTAGCACATTAAAATGGAGGATCATCTTTGCTAATGGTACTACTTTGGTATTACTATTAACTGCTTTTACCAACTGCTTTTTCACCACATTGAACCAGAAATTGTATTTCTGTAACTTAAGATCTTTACACTGAATCAGGTACTCTGGAATGATAAAAAGCATTATTTTATAATGACAGCTCACGGAACATTTTTTTTCTTTTTGCAAGGTTAAACATTACCAATTATTTCAATCTTTCCCCATAGTATTAAATTCTAATCTTCTAGTCATCTTTAAGCATTTCTGTCTCTGTTCCAGTTTCTCATTTTTTTAAAGTATCTAGAACTAAAGATGGGTTTCTTATCAAAGCAGAATGAAGTAAAACAATGAATTTCTCTGACTTAGGAAATATACCTTTATTGATCCAACATAAAATTGCATTTGCTTTTTAACAATTGTTGTGTCGCATTGTTGCCTCTTTGTCAGGTTGTGATAAATTTCATTTTTTAACATCCTTTTCACATAAGCTGTTACCAGTGTCATTGGAATTCTTTTGGTTTTGCGAAAAAAAATCCATTTATCATGATTTAAAGTTCATTCTGGTATTTTCAGTCATTCCAATAATCAATCATTCTGAATGTTGTTTCTCTTTTTAGAATATTAGCTATCCTGTAAAATGTTGTGCTGTCTGCAAGTTTGAAAACATTCTATCTACCTCTTTGTGCAAAATTTAATACAAAGACTGAATATTCAGCCCTTGACTGAATATTGTGACATCTGACATTATAATTTTATTTCTGTTTGTTGAGGAATGTTGATAAACACTCTATCATTTTTGAATCTACAAAGCATTCTAATAACTATACCATTGGAATCTCATGTTTATTAGATCAGGTTGTTTGAATGTCTAATTGTGGAGGTTTATCTGGTCACTAAGATTCAGTGTTGACCTGATGACATATCAGTGGATCAGTCAGAATGTCATGGGATATACTTATCAAATGCTCTAGCATTTTTACATTCCACTAAGAAAGTTACATGTTGAAAAAAAAATCATCTGACACAAGATTTTATCAAACCTCCATGGACTAATTAACTGGTGCATGTTTCTAAGGTATTTACAAATAAATCTTGTATAACAAAAGTTGGTTAATTGTCAATTTTTAAAGAACTGGTCTTTTTCCATTTTGAAGCTAGGAAAATCTTTGCTTCCTTCCAGTCATTTGATGCTTTGTAAAGTTCATTTTGAACTTCTCAATAATAATGGATACACGTTTGGAATGGAATAGAGTGCATTCCATCTGGCTCTGGAGATGTAGATTAATTCAAGATCAATAGATATTCTCTGGCTCTCTTCCTGTGAAGCTCTTGCTCCTTCAACCATCACAATGACTTGGTGAAGTGCATATCCACTTGACATGCTTCCAGTCAATACATTAAGCATGTGTGGATTGACCCAAGCAGTCCTATTAGCTTATTAACAAGGAACCTACGGGAATACTCAGTCATGTGCAAGTTTAATGCTTAGCTTTAGTGCTTTAGGGAATTTATTCTGTATAATGATTTATATACAATTCCTTAGAATGCCTAATAACAGCCATTTAAGTTAAGCCGTTATCTTTTAGGTAATATAGGCAAAACAATCCTAGAGGCCATCTTTTGAATTCAAATAGAAATACATTTTAATTGAGAACTTCTGCTTCAGTTTAATCTTTTTTGTTGTCCAGAGTCGATCAGTGTTCAGTGAATGCCGCTGTAATTTTCCACCCTTTCATCCTACAAGGTACATGAATCATTATTTCTTGATGTAATAAGTTAAAAAATTTCTTCATTCTTTTTCCCCAATGAGCTATTATTTTCCCCACACTGAAACAGGGTCAGGAAAAGAAGACTTAGCTGATGCAAGTCAGAATGATGAAATTGATAATCTTGATGGGAAAAAAGATTTGACAAATTTTATTTCTACTTGGAAACCATTTTTGGACTTTTTATGAGAAACTGAAGGAAATGAAATGTTGATTGTAGGATTTGATTATTATAATTATATGGAATTATTGAATTAATACAAATGTTAAACTTGGAGTATGCGTTCAAATTTTGTTAACTTATAGGTACCAAGGAAAGTCATTCATTTTCTTTTCTTTTTCTTTTTCTTTCTTGCATGTTCACTTTTTCTTCCCTAAGCTTTATTTTTTCAGATATGTTTTAATTTAATGAATGATCCACTCATATTGATAAAACTCTACATTTTTCTAGTCCTATTGATATACCCTTATCAAAGTATATAATTTTATATATAATTTAATACTATCATAAAATATGCTCACCATGAGAGTTAACAGTGATTGACCAAGTAGGTTGATTTTGTTATTTTTCAAGTTATTAAATGTTGGTTATTTGAGCCACCCTATAATTTTTCATATTTTATTAATATTATTTTCAACCAAAGAATATATTGCAAAATAAACTTAGAATAAGTATTCCGTTCTCATAAAAGATATTATGGCATGTATTGTATTTTAAATTTGAATGATTAAAACAGTTTTTGACATTGCCTCATGTTTTCATTCCATTATAGACAATGAATACAAAAGAAGAATATGAACACAAAAAAGATAAGGAAAGCTACCTCTGTGCAGTTTGCTTGGATATCTACTTCAATCCTTACATGTGCTACCCATGCCATCATATTTTCTGTGAACCTTGCCTACGTATGCTTGCCAAGGATAATCCAACTAGCACACCATGTCCTCTCTGCCGTACTGCAATTACCCACGTTTTTTTTCAATCAGGTAAAAAGCCTTCCTAAAATACATTTCAGTAACTATTGCCTATATTTCCAAATTAGTACTGGTATTAACACTATCCTTCTCAAGAAAATGTTCAGTATTAAATGTATTCCAAATACCAGAATATATACCGGAATATATGGCCAATGAAAATATAACCAAATTAAATGTGATGCCAGTTGATATGTGTTTCTAAAAGTGTATCTGTCTCAATAAACAGTGTCATCAGTGGCAATGTCATGTAGAATTAATTTGTAAATATTTGAATGTATTTCGGTCAAAATTGTTCAACAAGTGGCACATCATCATAGCAAGATCCAGAATGCATGTAGCATTTTATCAATTATCATTTATATGCATAGTCTGCCCTTCCAAATATTTTTATTTTATTTATAACATGTATATGCTGCCCATCTCACTATCAAGTGCCTATGGTCAGCTTAATTTCTAACTAGGCTTATATGTGAGGATTTCTCAGTAGTGAGAAATGGAAAGAAAGTGCTCATGGAGTTAAACTATCATGAGGCATGTATTTCTCAATGACCCTTACCCCTTATATAACTAGGTTGGAAGTAAGTTTCAGTACCAATTTAGCTTAGTTTTAACATTTACTGCTTTCCTTCATTGCCTCCTTGAGATGCATACAGAACATTACTCTGGTAAGTTAAAATTAACCACAGATTCTGAAGTGCGTTAGCCTCATAATCATTATCTAGACCTAGAAATCAGTTTGAACAGATCCAGACATGCATATTGTGTCTTCTGTACATTATAATCTGTCTTTTTCCAAGAGCTAATGAAGAAGCTACTTACCACAAATTTAATGTAAAAACAGAGTATTTCAAATTGAACTATAAGTCTCTAAGGCAGTAACAGAGGAAAGGGTTCTTGGCAATATATAGAAACTGGGTTCTTGGCAATATATAGAAACTGAACATCTAGCTAATTATTGCATTGTCCATTAAACACAAAAGCTATAAGTTATTGTTTGGGAACTTTTATGAAGACAACAACATTTTTTTTCTTATTCCATATTATTTTTTTTCTGTGTAAGAGGAAAAATACATTAGTAACAAGATATAATAAAACTGTGACTGAAACAGTAATTATAACTATGATTGTGGTGGAGATAAAGATTTCTCATTTATTGCAAAGTTAATGAATATGAGAAGTGGTATTTATGTGTTTTTACTCTTTAGATGGCTTTGCATAATAGAAAGTCCTAGAACAAATTACACTCTGTATCATTCTTCAAACTATATTCAGTAGAAGAAATGGGTGTCTCATTAGTATTCCATCAAATGCTTTCATTGATTAAACGATGAGTGAAATAATATTAGAGTCACCTATCAGAGAAATGGGTGGTATATAAATTTAATGCATAAAAAAATATTTAAATAGGGCAAAGATGTAGACCTACAGGACTTAGACTGACCCCAGTCCAAAAGGCCTTGTACAATTGGCTTTTCTTTCTGACATATGTAATTTTAAATATATATATATTATTTTATATCCAGCAAAATATCATTTCTGCTCTGTATAGTCTTATAGTCTTCATATACTCTAAATTTGGTGAGAAACCCACAACTTCTCTTATAATTGTTTTGCAAAGACTTTTGAAAGAGTCCAAAGTTTCAAATCTCATTTACCAAGTAGCACAGTTGGCTGCTCAAAAAGATAAAAGAGGTTATCTAAGAGTTAATCACATGATTCTGTAGATTTTCTAATTCATCGTGATGGATATAATAAATACTTCGGAAAAGTAACAGACTTATTTTCAAGAACTGATTCTCTTTTAAGCTTTCATAAATATGAAAAACAGTGGAAAATTTTTACTAATATTTTCATTACTAAATAAAGATTGCTAACATGTTCTATGTTTTTTCTTGTATTGTAGAACTGAACAATTCCACAGAAACTTTTTTCCCAATGGAATATTCAAAATTAAAGGAAAATTTTCAAAAATCAAATTTAGCAAATTGGCCTCTCCCTAGTTGCAAGAAAGTATTCAGAGTTATTGATGGTAAGTAAATTATTAATTATTATTTTACCTTAGAAATTCATTAACTTAAAAGTTCAGTGTTCAAGGATATGCCTGAATGGATCATACTTTATTCTCTATGATGATTTGTTTTTTTAATGAATTTTCATCTATACCCATTCTGAAAGTAATACCATAAACTATAAAGGGTTGTAGTAGAAATAATACAAGTCAAATTTTTGTTTGAATTTACACAATACATTTGGATGCCTGAGTAGGCACTCTTGGAACATTCTAGCTGAGTTGTTTATGCAGAAAGATAGCCCATTTCAGTACATGTGCAGATATCTGAAATATCAAGACAGTTATTGCCTGTGTGGTAAGAATGGTGAATTGTCGAATGCATAGATAACTGCTTAAAGATCAACAGTTGCAAATATGCAACACTACATCATAAAGGCAGGGAGTAACAAGGTATGCTTAGAGGCAGTTATGGAGATCAGAAGATAGTATTGCTTAGTTGCATTAACTCTTGTATATAAAATTGATTAAAAAATAATTGCAAATAGTATAGATCAACAAATATCTGACAGCAGAATCTATTAAAAATGTGGTAGCTTCACTAAAATGAAAGATAAGCTTTCTGCTAGTTAGTCCACCAGGTATATAGTAGTTGTTGCCCAGCCAGTAAGGTATTATGATGAAATTGCCTGTCGTAGGTGAAGGGAAAAGACACAGATCGAGAGCTGAGATACAATACAGAAGAATAAATACACATAAAAATAAAGGCTCCATAAACACAAAGAAGATAAAAAGAAACTTCTAACAATGAAGAAACAAACAATGCTCTGAAACATAACAGTAAGTCATCACTTTAAGCAAGAACATGCAGGTTGCACCAACAGGCTACAAAAATAGAAAAAAATTCCAAAGCAGATCATGAAATGTTAAATAATAAGCATAATAAGCTTAATAAAATAAAGAGTAATTCCTCATAATGCAAAACACAAAATGAATAGCCTTCTAGATTATTGGAGAGGAACTTAAAGCAGCATAAGGATTTGGTGCAGAAGAACATCAAGTGGCTGCTCACTTCTCCTATTATAGGTGTAGAAGTAGGCAATGATCTGTGGGTATAGCTGCCAGTTATCTCTACAGTCTATTGCTGGGAATCACATTAAAATTTATTTTTTCCTGCTTCTGCCTTCTATAAAGAGTTGTCTAACTTTATAGACATTATTGTCAGCCAATCAGTCATGTCTGACCCTTGACCACTCCATGGATTGGAACTCTCCACGCCCTTCTGTCTCGTACTGCCTTCTTCACCATCGTCATCCCAGTGTCATCCTTTACAATGTCCAGGGAGCTGGTACTACCCTTCTCCTTTATCCTCTGATCATTCCCAGCATGACTGGTTTCAAGTGAATCAGCTGTCATGATATGGCCAAAGTATGACAGCCTTTGTATAGCAATCTTGGCTTAAAGTGATATTTTTAGTGAGGTTCGGTCTAGGACTTCTTTGTTTGTTATTTTTGCAGTCCATGGGATGTGTAATAATTGCCTCCAGCATCACAGTTCAAAGGTGTCCACCCAACTTTATAGTACTAAATGTGTAATATGAAAGCTATAGTTAAAATTCTTGTAGCCCCATTCCTAATCTATTTGATCTGTATGTCTTTGGGGTTATCAGCTATCTTGGAGTTTAGTAGCTTAAAATATCTTTATTATTTCATGACTTATGACAAATAAAAGCAAAAGGTATTCTGCTAACAGTGGTTTAGAACCTTCCAGATTTTTTTGTTGGAACTGAGTCAGGTACTGGTTTAGCATTATTTGACATTCCATTCTAAAATATCCAAACTTTTTGCTGAAAAATTCAAGTGCAACCACTTTATATGAAACTGTTCCCTAGAACAGAACATTAATTAGAAGGGTCAAGACTGGTGTTTTGAGACTAAAAGTAGGAGGAACTTTAAGTGGTCTGTGGTACAAATGTATTATTTTATCTTCAGGCAAAACTAACCAGAACCAAAGACTTGTCTGAGGTACTCATATTTTAGAAAATCTTTATAATAAAAGGATTTCATTCTTTGAGACTTTCTTATGAGTGATCATGAAGCTCCAATCAAAAATAGAAAATATTATATTCCAACCAATGTGCTGGCAGCTAGTTGTTTATAAATAAGATGAACATGAACATTGCTGTGAACAGCAGTCTTCATACTTCTAGAACAGGGGTGTCAAACTGGCGGCCCATAGGCCGGATGTGTCATGCACAAGCCACGCCCACCCCAGATTCACAAAGGGGAAAACATCATGATACATCATGTGATGGCAATATGACACCGTGAGTCTAATACCTGTGTTCTGAAATGTCTACTTCAACAAATATTACAATAATAATCCTAACTTTTATACTTTCCTCTTTCATATTCAATATCTTTTTTAATTCTTAGTATGGGAAATCTTTCCAGCTTCGAAACACCTTTTTGAAAACTGAAAGAAAACATAAATAAAGCTGAACTTGTGCCAAATTCAGTTTAGAAGTCCTTTGGTTATGTTTTTTCATAGCCAATTTAAAGTGATACTACATTTTCTTTAATACGTTCAACTTATTGCCTATGATCCCCTTTTCTGTTCAACACTTATTTTCCTCCTTATTAAACACTTCCTAAATATTATTATATATATTTGAATGTAAACCCATCCTTTAAACTACTGCAATTGTAAAATATTACCACATTTTGGAAGTGCCAATATGTATCTTCAAGATTAATGAAAATTGGTGTTCATCAAAAAGATTCATAGTTTCTGACACAGTTTTTGTCTTGTCAATTGATATTTTGCTGGATATCAGTTTTCTGATGTCAACTAATAATACTAGGAAAAAATTGGTAACTGGAATATTAATTCATATGTCCTTTTTTGCCTTATAAATCATATTTTCTGTTAGGTGAAGTATTAAACTATAGTTTACTTTTAACAGATTTTTCCTTTTTTTTTCTCCAATTTGAATTTCCATAATTAAAACAATCCCTGGTATTTTTTTAAAATGGGAACTGTTATGTGCATTTCTATCAAGTTATATTCAGATGTTTTTGAAAAAATCTTCAAAGAGTATCTCTGTAATGCTGTATACTTGTTGGGAAATTACTTGCCATCTATTCTTTCTAAATTGTATCTCTTACAACTGATTAAATATTTATAATGTCTCTAAAGTCTTTTAGGTCATTCCTCCCAAAGGCTCTGTGAGTTATATTTTAAACATAATGGATTATATTTCTTTTCTCACCTTTCTAAACTTTCAAAACATTCAGAGTACATAAGTTTATAGCTCCACACATTTGTGATCTTTTTCTTAACAGTCTCTATTCTCATTAAATTTATTTTAGTTTTCTAGATACCATAGTAGTTGTTTCTTAAAATCAATGTTGAAAAAAAATAATCTGTAGTACAAAATTAGCATTATTTTCCAATATAAATTGACAGCAAAATCTGTGAGGTAGTACCATTTTTTTGACCCAACGTATGACTGTTTCAGTTTACAACCATGAGCCATTATGGTTGTAAGTCAAGGACTATCTATAGTAAAATGTAGGGAAGAAAAAAGCGTACTATATCTGTGTTGATTATACATCAAATTTCTGTTTTAATGTCATTTGTAATTTAAATGTAAATACTTAGAAAATGTCCAAAGTATTGCAAGATGCACTTATTTATTTAGTATTTGTAGTATTTATCCTAATACTGTAGCTACTGTTGGCAATAGATTGTCAAAGGATTCCTTCTCTAGATCCCTTAATTGGTTAAACTGAAGTTCTTAAGTCTGTTATAATTTCCAGTCTCCTGCCATGCCTTCCTATGCCTGATATCACCATGATGTTGTGGCCCATCTCTCTCCCCGACCCATGGAAGCTCATTTCCCCATCCCAGGCTCTTGAAGACCCAGGTTCAGGAACTTCCCAGTGTCATCCTCAGCCATCCAGAGAAGCCAGATGCCCCAACTCTCAGCATCATTAGAATACCCAGCCAATTGCTTGATTAATATTTTCATCTTAGTAGATAGAACCTTCAGGTGATATCTATTTTTTCTTTTGTTTTCTTATATAAAGCTTCACTCATATTAGTTATGTTCATTAACAGCTGTAGCTATATAAAGCCTAAAAGGAATTTGAGTGACTGTCTTCCACATAATTTTCTCAACATCACACCATACTCACGTCTAAATATAAATTGCTTTGCCCAATTATCATACATTTTTATCACTTGATAAAAATAATTTTAACTGAAAAATGCAGATGTTGCTGAAAATGTTTTAAAATGTTGGCTCGCTTTGAAGAGCAACGTGGAACAAATAATACCCATTATATTTTTCATCACTTCACTTTGTGCCGTTCTTCTGTTCTTAATAAAATGAAAATGCTATGTTGTCATCATTTTGCATCATCTTCCTTAATGTCATCTAATGGATTTTTGACTATCATTCTCTTTACTTGGGGTGAGTAGAGTAGAATTGTTCCTTTCTTAAATGCTACAAAAATCAATGCAAGGAAATGAAAGGAGCTGAAGGAAAGAAGATGGGAGCAGACTGTTAATTGAATCTAAGTTCCATTCTTGGAGCAAAGCCCAACACTTTTCAGTTCAGTAAATGCAGCTCACTTTGGAATGTTTTATTCCAACATTACACATAAGCAAGTAGATTTTAGAATCTGAAAACGCAAGTCTTAATTTGAATTGGATTATTATATGACCTAACTCTAAGATTCAGGGTAAAAAAATTAAAAATATATTAAAATATTTATGAAAAATAAAATTAAGAAAAATCTGCCATCTGAAATTTTTTTCTGTTTATTCATGACCACAAAGTTTGAACCACAAACTATTGGCACGGATACCACTCACCAATATCAAGGCTCATTTAAATGTAACTACTCTGGAGATTGCAGAATATCTTCACTGTGCTTACATGATGCAGATTTTAAAGCCAGAGCATGCGTTAGAATTTTGAAGCTTTTTAAAATGTGAGCCTATAACTTACACTTCAGATTTGTGATTGTGTTCGTTTTCTTCATTTGATTGACATGTTCTCAATTGAGAAAAATTGGGTCAAGCATTTAACTAATGCAATATTAGATATATCTCAGGTTCCTACAACAAGAACAATTACAGTAATAAAATTACTATTGAATGAAGAATGATTACATTATGAAGTCCAATCTAGGGCAAATTTAATGTAGATTTGCTTAAAGTAAAACCAATAGAGATACAACTCAACTATTACATTAATTTGTTCATATCTCCTCAGCTGAAGCAACACATAATATATCACTAAGTATTTGCATAACTATGCTTTGATTAGAGGTTGCAAGAATATTCTAAGATGATGATGTAAAACAGCCCCTACATATAGATATATATTTATATGTTATTTTCTGTAAGAGTGGAAGTAAATAAAAGAATCACTTGTGGTCAATTTGATTTGAGTTCTCTGGAGAATATATCATATATAGAGGGTTTCTAAGTGGTCAGTGTTTTCAGCTGCAGCTACAAATTCATTTCTTGGAAATCAAATTAAAAAAAAACAGGTAAAAGAGGCATAATCTTTAGGATGTAAGCTAGCACAGATTTGAAACATTCTTTAAGATCTTGCAAAAGGACGGATATAAAATCAAACATATTTATCTTCCAAATTTAAATCTTAAAAGCTACACTAACATAGTATATCAAATATGTTTGAGGCAATGCCACTCTGATAATATCAAGCCCCATTTCTATATTGTGAAATTTAATTTGGCAAATTTACAATAAAATATTTGTTATTACATATGATGTCTTGATTGATTTGAACTGCTTAATTATTTGAATAGGATATAATAAATAAATAAATAAATAATAATAAAAAGAAAATAAACAAAAATTCAAAGTGCAGACTCAATGGACCACTGGGTCTTTTTCTGCCATTGGTTTTTTAAGTTTCTATATTAAGAGTTTGTTAGTAAATTCAAACCATCTTGAATGAAAACATTTTAGAGGACCAAATGAAGTTTCTCAGCCAAGCAAATGGAATGACCTGTTTTTCTTCTTTTTGTGCAGAAGGTGGAAAGACCACTTTCCATGCTGAATTAGGAAGATGACAAAGAAATGGCACCACACAGTAATATTTTTATTTATGTAAGAAATGTGTAAGTTACCTCAGTTGCAAAGACTTAGCTAGTTTAGGAATATCAGCAATTTAATAAAAACAGCAATTCAATAAATGCAACTAAATTAAACATGCCCTTATATAATAATAGCAATAATAATATTCACAGTGGTGCTGGATCATCCAATCCAAAAGCTTTTCTGAACAATTTCTTTCAAGCTTCCCCAAAACTAGCATAGACCATACTTGCTGTGGCAAGCTATTACAGAGAATGCCTTCTTTTGAGCACCCTTCCATTTTGTTTCTTAGAAGGTGGAGGTCTTCTGGTCAAGTAGACTGAGCGGGATAGTGGAATTTGCTTGGGATGTGAATTTTAAATCTTGAATTATACACGGAACCTTGCTAGAAGTCAGTTCAGTGCCTTCAGCAGAAATATTGTATCACAGTGATGAGGCTTCTCAGCAAGCATATGGGCTGCTGCATTTTGCATTGAGTTTCCACGTGCTCTGCATAGGTAGTTCAACAAAAAAACTAATTATAGTGATCCAGATGGAGGGAATAAGCCATATGCAGTGTCTCATTTTGAGCATAAGAATCACAGTAGTTATCCTAGTGGAGCCAGATGAAGTCACTCTTGACCATGGTCTCCATTTGTTTTTTTTCAGCAAGAGCCATGAGTTCAGAAGCACTTCCAAATTGCTAGTCTGTTCTCCATTATTACATTAAGATGGTATAGCCCCAGAGTATTAACCCGTTTCTTTGTTCATGAGACCTATTACGTATCATAATTCTGGGAGGATCACAACTATAACAATAAAAACAAAATTAGCAATAAAATGAGCTCCCCTTCTGAAAACTTTCCAGCTCTTGAGTCCATCAGTTGCCCGGGATATGCCAAATGAATAAATATTTTTCACCATCCAGACTTCTAGTGAATCTCTTACTTGGCCCAGGAAATTTAAAGATGGGTATCATCTTGTTGATATGCATCACCTCTGAAGGAGAGGAGTTTTTCTCAAAATATACATTTAACTTAGAGATCAAAACACAATTATGACAAACTGATTGTTGGACAGATTCAGTACAAGAAGCAAGGGAATGTGAGCTTAAGTGGGCTGGTTAAAAGCTGTCTTTATAGATGTAAGAAAATCATTATCATTTAATTGGCTTCATAATTATAAATAATTAGTAGTAACAGCATGTGATATGATCAATACAGTTGATAAGGTTAGCCATTTAATACATATTAAAATATATAATGGGTGGATATCTTGAGATCACACTTCACTTGCACAGTGAAGTCTTTCATTTAAATAAAGGGAACTGGGTCGCACAAGCGGCAGGTGAGTGTGTGAAGCTTCATTTGCACAAGCAGAGGATCTAGGCTGTGCATGTAAAATTCCCCCAGCTGCCGCTCACTCACCAGTGCCGGTCCATGGAGCCAGCATTGGGAATTGCTGCTGTAAAGCACTGTGAGCTGTATATAAACCTAAATGCTATTGCTCTATTGCTACAGGAGTTTTGATCGAAAGTTCTGAGTCTTTACTACTTCGCTCTTGGCTTGTAGCAAAGGTTATAGAAACCATAAATTAACCCAGGGGTCCTCAACCCCCAGTCTGTGGACCAGCATGGATCCATGATAATGCCAGCAACCGGGGCACACAACCAAGCAAAGCCCCATCTGCAAGATGAAGGCAGCATGCAAAACTACGGCCTCTCATGTACATGGAAAAAACTCTCCACAGAACCGGTCCTTGGTGCCCAAAAGGTTGGATGGCGTTGAATTAATCCACACAAGTTTCCTTCTTTTTCCTTATGCATTTCCATTTCCATGTATTGAGCATATATATAACATGGTTGTAAAGGTTATAAAAAAAATTATTTTCCATAAACTGTTTTATCAGATTGTTATATTTATTCAGCAGGTTTTCAGAGTACAGACTCCTTTACACGAAGGCATTTTCCACACGCTGCTCACAGAATGGATTATATGGACTTTGAGGACGATAGCTGGGGTTGGCGATTTGACATGGACATGGTGATAATCTACATTTATGCCATCAACTGGGTCTTGGGATTTATCGTGTTTTGTTTCCTTTGCTATTTTTTCTTTCCTTTTTAAGGATTTCTGTTCCCTATTTTGTATCTGACTGGTGACACAAAGAAATAGACAAATCTGAATTAAACAATGCAATCTCATGTCACCTATATAACACTGATAAAGCTGCACAACAAGAATTTACTCTGTTTTGGTTTACTAATTTTTATTATATTTTGAAGTGAAAAAACATTTGCATATTTAAAATATTGTATTGCTTTTTCTAATACCTATTAAGATGACTTGGTGCTTTAAGTCTATAATTGCAATCTGAACATAAATTTGGGCAGCTTCATGAGAGTATTCATAAAGCAGTGAGACTTCACTAATTAACTTCAACTACTGTATAAAATACATACACAAACTATCACCTCACACTTAATAGTTTCCATAGAGATAGTTCACATATTAAATGCTTACGTTCAGTTAAAATATTTTTTCTCATCAACTTTGTCATTCAGTATGATGTTTTTCTTTATATCCAGTGCTTATTGTTGTCATGTTGAGTCTTAGCTTTCCACCTCTTGAAATAATTTCAGAAGTTTCATCAGAGATTTTTTAAATAGTAAAATGTGCTATGTATTTAAGATATATGGCATATGACTTGGGAGAAATTTGATAGAGAAATGTGTACAGTGCCTACGGTGGTCAGTTTTTCAGCAGAGACAATTTAGCTGCCTTTTTTATTTGTGGATGTCAAATTATTCAAAAGACTCATTGGTTTGCCTTATTGATCAGCAATGTTTATGTTAAGAGCTGACATTAAAGAAACAAAAATCAGATTTTCAATTTTTATACGTGTGTGTACATACATACATACATACATACATACATACATATCCAAGAATAATGGAGGGAGGGAGGGAAGAAGGGAGGAGCACTTTATTCTAATTTTATCTAGCTTTAGATTTGTGTGTTTTGCTGTTTCTAATGTTCTGTGATCATCAATCCAATTTCCCCAAATTTGAGAAGAGATGAGGGGAAAAGAAAGAGAACAGAGATGGCCAGAAAAAGAAACTCTGAAGCACCTTTGACCCATGTTGCTGAAAATGTCTGATCCCTGACTCTTATGTGATGTTCCTATAAATTCTTGAACTTCTGACCTCTAACTAACAACCTTCACCTGGCTCTTGGAACTCTGGCTGGGATTTGGACCATTCTTCTGTGTGCTCCTATTGAAAACTAACTCTTCAAGTAAGCTTCTGTTTTGTTTACATTCTTCATTTGCTGTTTATCTCTTCAGCCTTGAAGTAAAATTGCTAATCTCCATAGCAATCACATTAATGTATGTATGTGATTGTGAAATCTAAAGCAAGGTGCAAGATTACAGTGTTACTCAAAAGTTGAAAGCAGAAATTAGAGAAAATCAGCAAAAGTCTGCGTTGCCTGGTATACTAGGCCTGCGATTCTGGGGAAAGCCAACATTTAGGATTATGGAACAGATTTTCTCCAGTAGTCATCAACTTCTTTCACCTCTGGAACAGTTTCCATGCCCCAAAATGCTACAGAGTGATCCCATTTCCAGCTGCCTTGAGTTACATGAATGGGAAGTAAAAGATCAATTAAGTTCAATGAAGTAATGTATGCGGTATATTTTCTTTAAAAATCTTTTACAGATTGAAGCAAATTGTGGAAGTACCTCTTAAAAGTTCTAAATATTCTGAACTGGTTGCAGGAGTTGGAGATGACAAGTGTCAGCCTTCAAAGTATTAACAATTGAAAATTGTACCTGCAGTTGATTACATGTTGGGATCACATTCTTGATTGCTATTCTTCATACATAAGTAACAATTCTCTAAAATTCCTGGCCTAATTTATTTTCAAAGATACAGTGTAACTTTTCTATCTGAATAGTCATGATAATAGTAAATGAAGTTTATCTACGAATTCCCATCTCTAAAATACTTATTTCTAGACTCTAATAAATACAGTGACTTTTTAAATGTCTGAATCCAGAGATTTGGATATATATTATGATCATAATCAGTATAAAAAGTTTTTAAATTATAATGGCAAGAATTGACTTTTGGATTCAGGTATATGTTACTGAACAATTGGGAATATTACTTCTAATTTGAGAGAAGCCAGAAATTTTAGCAGTAGAAATGGAAACAGTATTAATATATTTTTAACTCTGTAATTCTTTGTAAATACAATTTTGAAATATTTAGTCTTAAGTCTGTTTGTTAAATAAACTATCATGAATATGCTGATGATATCCTAGTGAGCCTTCTGAGATTTGGTTTAATTTTTGGAATAATTTTTATCTAGGTTGTATATTTTTATCTATTAATGTTATGGTGCTCATAGTAACTTTTAAATTTTAATCCCCATTAAGAGTGTTATTGTATGTTTGAAACAATTAAACTAAGGTTTTTTTGTAAATATATAATGTTTCATTTTTTATGCATAAAGAACTAAGAAGGAGGTGTTTTTCATATAAAATATGAAAAAAATATGATTTTACTGATATGCAAGCTCTGAAAAATTAAGGAGTTCGACAAACTTTAATTGTAAATTTCCCATTGCATATCTACTGTGCAGCACAATCCAATAACTTCAAAACATAGCAATGATTATAGTGCAATAAGGTTTTTTTTCTGTTCAACCATATCTGATTCTGGGAGACTGCCAGTGCATCTGTGGGTGTGTAGGGATGGGTTTGTGTGTATGTCTGTGCTTTCACTGAGACTGTATTAGAGAGTTACAGTTCGTAGTGTGTTCTGGTGATGGTTGGTTAGAACTTTGAGCTGCACCCAATTTTGATCTTCCATTATTAGATTATAGTTATTGAACCAACATAATTTATAAACAAGTTCTCATCACATATATACAAACTCACATGTGCATAAATGTATGACTAATAGTGCAATAGTTGAACAGTTAATATAAGAAAAAAAATGGCATGCGTGAAATAACACACTATACACTTTTGGTTTTTTGCAATTTAGAAAATGACAACCTTTGATTCCCAAGTGGGGTTTATTATCTCAGATCTTATATTCAAATTTACAACCAATGGAATGTTATTAGCTTGGCAAGCCTTGCAATAGCAAACACTGGGAAATTATTAATTCAAACCCTAATGTGTGGGGGGGACCACATTATAAAGTCAAATATAGCAAGCTCTGTCTGCCAGCATAATTAAGATAATTGTTATCCTGAGAAAACCAACAAGCTAGTTTTTGGACAACAATCTGATCATTATGAGAGAAAATTGAAGATACCCACAGCACTTTTATGCAGTTTTTTGGAAGACGTTTGCCATTGCCTTCCTCCTAGGGTTAAAAGACAGCAACTGGTTTGATTGTCACCACAGGTGACTTCATACCTAAAATCAGATTTTAGGGGTGGGTTACAAAAGGGTTAACTACTGGTTCAGGATTTATGAGCTTCCCTGCCAGCTGTGAGCCACACACCTGTAAATCATCATAAATCATCACATCATTAGCATGCTGCCTGCCGAGAAGCAGCCTTTGAAACAGCCTCTTTTCCTGCTTTTTTAACTGCAGCTGTGCCTTGTTTGGCAGCTGAAATTGAAAAAGCAGGAAATAAAGATCAGGTAAGAGCCCAGGTGGGGAAAAACATCAGCAGACAATAGAACCAGTTCTATGTCTGTTACTCTTCAGAGCTACCAGTTCTACAGAGGTGGACAGAACCGGTAGAAACCCACCCCTGATTAAAACTAATGGTTCTTAGTTCTAGCCTGGTACCTTAACCATTTTGCCACTTATTAGAAACAAATTAAAAACAGTATTGTTGACAATATATGATGTATAATTGAACAGACACTCAGCTGAGCCCAGCAAGATTGGTATGAACTGATTTTTAGTAATACTGTGTTTAGCTTAACCTGATAAACTTAGTTTAGTAAAGCCAGATTAGATAAGTGTTGCTATCTCACATGATTTCTGTCCCAGATGACAGAAAAAAATCTAGAGGTTTTGTATCTGCTCCTTTAGATTTGAAGACTAGAACTTGTAGCCATACATATGATATCCAATTGATGTTTTTCAATATGTTAATTTTTTCAAAGGAGATTCAACCATTGATCAAAAAGAATAAATAAAAAGAGTATCAGCAATAGTCAGAATTTAAATATGCATTTATAAACCACAGTATCAGAGGACATAGTAATCAGAGAGCTAGTACATAATTTATTACATGGTTGCTGCAATAGCAACCATGAAGAACATCTATCAAATATTTGCTCAGCCCAATGTTAGCTGATTCAGTCAATTCAACAAGAAAGAGCAGTTATATCACAACCTGCACCTTTTATATTAGTTTGGAGTGTGTAAATTTTAAAGGCAAGTAGGACAAAACAAGTAAGTCTTAATAAGATAATAGGGAGCAAAAGAAACTTTCAAGTGATTGTTTCAAGTCCCTTGGACAATAGCTATCTTGCTACACCTCTAAAATTTGTACGGCAGACTTTTATCAATATCTTTGAGAATGCTAATTAGTTATGGGCTTATAACACAAATCAGTGTAAAGGAATTTAGAGCTGACCTTGGATATACAGAAAATACAAACAAGCTGTTAAGAGGGAAAGTGATAAAAGACCCACAAGGTAGGAATTTCAGAAAAGTTTACATAGTCCAGAGAATGAGGTGATGCATGAGAAAGAAATTCAAATTAACCCATTTGTTTGAGGTAAGGTGGAACAAAGAGAAACTAAAAGATTTTTGTGATGGCTTCTGATGCCTACTCAGAAGACGAAGAGCCAACTCCAGGGATTTCAAAGAAGGGCATGGGGGAGTGTCAAGAAGATGAGCAGGGAGTAAATGGGACAGAGGAAGAGGAGAGGCCAGGAACCTCAAAGGGGCTGTCGGGAACTGAATGAGCCTGGTTGAAGAAGAAAGGGGAGAGATGCAGGTGTAACTGGGAGGCTCAGGGATCTAGTCAGAAACAGGGCAGAGAAGTAACGCAGCTGCAGCTAGTCAGTGAGATAGAATTGCCTCCTCCATCAGATCCCAGGATGCACAGGGCCAAAAGGAGGCAGCCATAATGGAGGACAGTGAGGCTACTTGTGAGGAGACAGCCTCATCTCTCCTAATGAGTTACAGTGACTTATGCCTACTTAGCTCGAGGGGTGGAGAAGTGCAAAGCTAGAAACTGATTTTATTTCCTATTGTGTCTATGTTCTGGCTTTTTGGATTCCTCTCTTGTTTCTTGACTGCGTTCAGACTCTGGCCTTGTGAGTAGATTCTGGCCTTGTACTTTGCATTTGGATATCATGCATTTGGACTCATTCCTAGACTTTGGGTTTGGTATTTTGGTTGGTTGACTTCGTACAGGATTTTGTTTTATTGGAACTTGGGGAGGGGGGAATATTTGCAGGCAAGTTTAGTGTAAAAGGACTCTGGGAAATAGCATTAGGAGCTGGCAATATTAAATAAACCCTTCAACACTTTGTGCGTGTGGTCTAGAACAGGACAATTTTCAAGATTCTGACATTCTACTTTACTACAATAAAGAGCATTCCCGGAATCCATGCGGTGGCTGTGTTTTTGACCTG